AAAAAGAATAAATAAAAAAATTAATTCCCCCACTTTTAAGCATGAACAGCCAATCAAGGATCATCAAATATCTGAGGAATCTTTTAATATGAATCATATAGATTCCAAGAAGGAACAACTTGGAAAATAAAACTTTAAAACAAATGCCCTATATTGATATCCTTAGAGAGTTACGGGATGACATTGCAGTCATTAAAAACAGCCTCCTTGTAAAAAGAAATATTCATAGAACAACAATATGGTAGCAGAAATCAAACATGGTAGCAGAAATTAAAAATTCAAAAGAAAGTTTGAAAGACAAAGTCGAGCAGATCTTTACGAAACAGAACCAAAGACAAAAAGACAAACAACAGGCAAGAAAGATAAGAAAACAGGAGACTCAAGTGAAGAGACTTAACATCCAGGAATCCAACATTCTAATGTGAGAGATTAGAGAAACAGAGGGGAGAAAATAATCAAGGAAGTAATTCAGGAAAATTCCACAGAGGAAAGGACCCGAGTTTCCAGGTAGAAAAGGTCACCTAAGTGTTAATCACAATTGATGAGAAGACATTTTTATGACAAAATTTCAAAAACACGGGAGAGAAGTTCCTAAAAGCAAACACATAAAAAGGAGTCAGAATATTTGTAGATTTCTCAATAGCAACACTGGAAGCTATAGATAATGAAAATTATTCCCAACCCCCAATTCTAAAGCAAGCCAAATTATTAATAAAGTGGGAAAGTAGGATAAAGACATGTTCAGGTACCCCAAATCTCATTAAATTTATTTCTCCTCTATTCTTTCTAAGAAGACTTCTAGAGGATATGTTCCCTCAAGGCAGGGAGTAAACCAAGAAATACAATTAAATGGAGCATAGGAAATAGAAGATCCAGTTCAGAATGGCAGTTATTCACCAGACTGAGGGTGTTATTTGTTCAGATTGGAGCAGGCTTGGAAATTTGTGTCTAAAGATGGTGCAGGACTCCATGTCTGTCTGTGTCTTTCCTGGAGTGAACAGATGGACACCATAAGAGCCAATGGGACATCACTTTTAACAAGAAAGATTTTATTTRTTCTTTGTACTTACATCTGACAGTAGAATATATTTTGACATATTATACATACATGGAGTACAGTTTCCCATTTGGGGGGTTGTACATGATGTGGAGTTTTACTTGTCATGTATTCATATATGAGCATAGGAAAATTATGTCCAATTCATTCTACTGTCTTTCCTATTCCCATTCCCTCTCCCTTCCATTCATTACCCTTTGTCATATCCAATGCACATCCTAATTCTTCCCTTCCCACTGCTTAATGTGAGTTAGCATCTGCATATCAGAGAGAACATTTGGCTTTTGTTTTTTAGGGATTGGCTTATTTCATTTAGCATGATAGTCTCCRGTTTCAACCATTTACTGGCAAATGCCATAAATCCATTCTTCTTTATGGCTGAATAATATTCCATTATTTACCACATTTTCTTTATCCATTCATCTATTGAAGGGCACCTAGGTGGGTTCCATAGTTTAGCTATTCTGAATTTAGCTTCTATAAACATAGATGTGGCTGCATCAGAACCTCACTTTGAAGACCACCCAACTTGCGATCATATGGGCAAGACTGAAAACCGATAAAATATAGCTGTATGTTTTTAATATGAAGTGTTACGGTGAAACGTGGGTGTCTCTCTTAATGATCCTACCAAGAGCCTTCTGGCTTTCTTAGACTCTGGTGTAGGAAAATACAAATTTGCTCAAAGAAGGAGAATACACAGACACATGCACACACATAGGCAGAGTGTGTCTATGGAAACACACAGAAGAAGCTGGAGGTCAGGGTGGTGTGGCTCAGGGAAAGGAATGGGAGGGAGAGCTTTTTTCACTATTGACTCCTCTTTGTTTGGCAGGGTGGGACACTGGGATCAGCTGGGTAGTGAGCGTTCTTGCAAGGAGTAAATAAGGGCCCGAGCAAAGAAGGGGCTGAGGTGGTAGAGTGCAAGATGCAGTGGAGACGTTCAACCTGTACACAACTGTCATAGCTAGAGAGGCCGAGAAATACAGTGGGGTGTGGGGATGGGGGAGTGACTCCCAATTTCGCCAGCTCTACTTTCTAACTTTCCCCACTGACTAAGTGAACAACATTGGGGTAAACTACTTGGACATCTCTGAGCTTAGCTTTCTTCTTCAGCAAAATGGGTCGGCCATCCCATGTCCCACCTCTCAGGGTGGTTGTGAGGATTAAAAGGCAATAATGAGTTCAAAGGTTTAGAAGAGCAGCTGGCACAGGGTAAACACGCAGTCACCAAACTAGTGCTATTATAACCCATGACCCCATTCAACTTTCTCTTTGGGTTTTTTCTTTTTTCTTTCTTTCCCCCACCCTTGTAACTCAGCAGGCAGAATTTAGTATACAGAGGAGTGATGCCTTCACCAAAGGGCGTGTCCACGTTTCACTCAATCTTTAAACAAATATGTTTTGAAGCACTGCCTTTGTTGCCTGGGAYCCATTGATAATTTAGCCCGTCATATCCCTGCCCTCCCAGAGTCTAGTTTTCTTTTTTTCAGAAACTTCCTGGCCCTTCTCACATGCTACAGGTCGATGTCCGTGTATGCTTTTATAACTATGATTTTATAGTCAAAAGAGTATTTTCAGGAAATAGTTTTATATTGAACAGTTGTTTAACGTACATGTGAACACATCATTTAAAAATTGCTGAGTGTGAAAGGTTACAAACGTAAAAGCAGGTGTCCTTCTTATTCGGAATTTCCTAGTTGTCCTCAGAAACAACCTCTCTCACTTGTTTTTTAATGTTCCACCACTGAGATAAATATGTAGGAGGCCGTAAGCTCCCCTTCTGCAATGGTTAGGGGGAAGAGAGAAGGAGCCGAAGACATCCAGCTACAAAGATGTTGGGGGAAAGGAAGTGCATAAGACGACCCAGGGGGACATTGGGCTACAAGTCTTGGGTATTATAGAAGATGCAGGCTTAAATAATTACACCAAAACTCTGTATTGATAACTACTTTATACAAAACATTACTAGAAACCAACCAGCTAGGGGCAGGCAGGGGCAGGTGCCGCAGTCTGGCTGGGCACAATTCAGGAGCCACTTGTCAAAAGAAACAAACTTCATTTTTAAAACTACAAACGCCAAACAAAACAGCTCCTCAGGAAAAACCCTCAGAGCCCAACTGCCACTACCGGCTTCCACACGCCTCTCCCACACACCAACMACCACCTCCCACAATCCTCCTGCTCTTGAGGCCGATTGGCTAGGTHGYGTGGGCGGAGCCAAAGAAGTCCCCCARTGAGCAGTTCCGTAGTCTGAAGGGCAGGGAAACAGCCCAATGAACATGACCGCAGAGGAGCCAATCAGCTAGATGTTGCTGGGGCCACTGTGAGCCAATCATCAGCTGGCAGTCTGAAGGGCAGGGAAACAGCCCAATGAACATGACTGCAGAGGAGCCAATCAGCTAGATGTTGCTGGGGCCACTGTGAGCCAATCATCAGCTGGCAGTCTGAAGGGCAGGGAAACAGCCCAATGAACATGACTGCAGAGGAGCCAATCAGCTAGATGTTGCTGGGGCCACTGTGAGCCAATCATCAGCTGGCAGTCTGAAGGGCAGGGAAACAGCCCAATGAACATGACCGCAGAGGAGCCAATCAGCTAGATGTTGCTGGGGCCACTGTGAGCCAATCATCAGCCGGCAGCTGGAAGTTTGCTGGCAGCTGGAAGTTTGCTGGGGCCCCTTTGGCTGTGGCTCTCAACAGGCAGGACGCACGGATGGTAATATCCCAAGGATCAGCCTGACTCTGGTAGCAGTCCACAACCCTCCACAGCCTTTTATGGAAAAATATAAAGAAGAATTTTGTAAGACTTGGGCCTCCTAAAGATCTCTTTGGGTTTGGACTGAGGCTGGTCCCTCATGTCATCCAGGTGAGCGCTCTCCTCCCCAGCTCTGCTTCCAATCAGATGAAACTTCACAATAACTCGGCTGTCATCAAAATCCCTCACTGACCACCAGGGAAACTTCTGTTTGTCCAGGTCCATTTGGACAGACTGTCCATCTGTGGCTTCTTTGAGACTTCTCAAAGGACCCGATAGACCATTTATTTCATGTGTATCTTGTTGGTTGAAATCTTTTGTTGTTTTCTCAGGAGCATGGTGGTCTCTCTTGCATCTGAGTCGTTTTTTTCATTCCAGAGAAAATAGGGCTCACAAGACACAGCATTTCCCTGCTTTCTCAATGCTCTCTGCCAACACTTGTTTAATTGCTTATTGGGCAGGTGAATCCTCCCAATAACAGCATCAACCCAGACAGAAACGGCTCCGGGATCCTAGTTTCTCTCTGTCTTTCCTGATTTCCCAAGATGGAGGTGCTCCCCTCACTGTGGCCTGTACTCTAACTAGGTCCTTGTATTCTCTACCATCCTGAAGGGGGAAAGCATTCCTTACAAGTGGTGGGCTTTTCTTCCGAACATGCTAATTACATTATCACAGTATCTGTTTCTTTATATTTTAAAATATTAACATGAACATGAGAAAGTTGTAAAATACATAACTCCTACTCCGGTGGAAGAGGTAGTTGTTCAGTTCTAAGTTCAGAGAATGAAATGAGGCACCACCTTAGAGTTTGGAGGCAGAGAAAAGTAACTGTTCTCAGAACTAAGAGCTCCCTATAAAAACAAATTTGGTAAAACTAAGAAAGGAATCTGATCTGAAGTTGAAAGCGTTGGTCCTAAACATTATTCCCAGGCAAGGAGTCATTCAGGTGGGCTCAGCCCATGAGTGCGCTCTGAAATGAAAAGAAGCAGATAGAAAATTTAAATCTGCTTCCTGGCACCGGGAACAGAGCTGATATTTTAGGGAGGTGATTTCACTCAGAAGGAGTCTTGGAGCCCCCATCAGTACTAAGGGTAATGTTCTCTCATCTCCAGAAAGAAATCAAAAAAGGCTGCCCCAAAACTTACAGAGGAAAGGGACAGGAATACTTATATGGAATTTGTGCTTTAATTAAAAGTGTGTAGCATGATGGTTGCCTGAAGGTGTCTTTGAATAGTGAACAATACACTGAACTTCTTCATCATTTTGTTCAGGTTCATGGATTTCCACTCTGGAAAAATAGAAAAAAAAAAAAGGATTGGGTGAGATTTCATGTAATACCACTTTATTTTTCTAAATTTCAGTGATAAGGCAGACAAAGGGGACCATCGTCATAACAATGAATAGAAACAAATTATTGAAGAGAGAGATGGAGACGGTGGGAGAAAAGACCCCTGGTCTACATTGTCATCATTGCCTCCTTCAACAATTACCTTGGATTTTTTTTTTCTTTTTTGGGTGGGGGTTACCAGGGATTGAACTCAGGGGCACTCAACCACTGAGCCACATCCCCAGTCCTATTTTGTATTTTTATTTAGAGACAGGGTCTCACTGAGTTGCTTAATACCTCTTGCCCTTGAGGAGGCTGGCTTTGAACTAGTGATCCTCTTGCCTCAGCCCCTCAGCCACTGGGATTACAGGCGTGCGCTATTGTGTCTGGCTGAGCTTGCATTTCTGTCTGGCCTTGTCCCTGCCCTGTGCTGATTCTCTGCTGTCTTCTCATTATAGGCTCTTCTAGACCATCTCTGAACTGCGTCTGACAAGACAGGCAGCACCTTGTACCCTGGCTCCCCAATTAGTCTTGCTGCTAGAATCACTGGATTAGTGCAGAGCACTCTGGTGGCTTCAGTGCCCTGGGGGTCATGACCCTGTCTCTCTGGCCTATGACCAGGCAGTCAGAGTCTTGCTATTCTGGAGAGCCCAATTCCTAAAAGGGATGGGAGTCCAGACAATCTGGTTATATTATGTTGTGAAAGGATTTATAATCAGGAACTTTCATGCATTCTTTCATTCATTTAACAAATACTGATTGGGCACCTACCATATGCCAGGCACTGTGCCAGGTGCTGGTGGTGCAATGATGGTCTTATCTGATAGGTCTCTGCCCTCCATAGAGTTTAATTTAGTTTTCTTCATAGAGTTTAATAAGATAATTTCACAAATAGATTAGTATAATCTGCCATTTTGAAGAAAAAGTCCAGGGATCCACATGATCTAGTTTAGGTGGACATGATCTAGTTTAGGGAAGGGTTTTAAGAAAGTGCTGCTTGAGCAAGATCTGAAGAATGAGGTGAAGCAGTGGCAGAAGAACCTTTCAAGTAGAGGGCACAGAAGATGCAAAGGCACCRAGGCTGAAGAGAACGTATTATTATTCCTCAATTCTTCTTTTATTCATCCCACATATGCAGGGCATTCACTAGCTCAGGCACTGTGCTAGGAGCTGAGTTACCATGGTGAATAAGATGCAGTCCATGCTCACCTCATCAGAACCCTGGGTATTCATTTTTACATGACCAGGACTTGACTAACCAGTCTCACTTTCCTCTCCCTCCCCATGAGCTCCTGTTTGCAGAGGTCTCAGCAGGCACGGGCTCCAGACCATTCAAACCTTAGACCCTTGGGGGATCAGACCTCTTTCAGCAATTGCTGCAGGGTCAGGACTCACCTTTCTTTGGTCTCTTCACTCTCCATTTTGATGGTTTCTGAAAGAGACCAAAAACAACCTTAGAAATTGTATTCCTCATACTTATGAAAACAGGAAAAACTTGAAGGGATTTTAAAGTCACAGGACTCAGACATTGTGATGGCCTCATACATGAAAGAGATGGTCACTAAAATGATGCCATTACACAGTCTCAGGCAAGGAGTTCCTTGCATTCAAAAAGTGAAAGCCTTCTCTTGATCCCTGTGTCTTAAGTGCTAATGTTGGACATAGATTATTTTTTTTTCCAATTAAAGCTCTATCCTTCCTGAAATAAAAATACCACTGGGATGGTACCTTTGTTTTAGCAATCATATCGTGGTTAAAAAAAAAAAAAAAAAAAGAGTTTCCAATCCTTTTTTTTTTTTTTTTTTGCAAGCAAAAAGGTGAAGGAAAGGGACTTTTGAAGATGTTGATACTTAAATGGATGTTGATGCCCAGTGATGCCACCAAATAGACAGTACCCACTGTTGCATGCACAGGCCTAATGGAATTCTCTAGCCAGTCAGAACTCCTAAGCCATAATTACTATTCGTATAGACTTAGCTGCAGATGCAGTTTGGGATGATTTTCCTCTAGGTTTCCCTAATTGTTGTGTCCGTACTGTTGTCCCACTCAGAATCGCACAGTCTTAAGTGTTGTTCACTTTGGCACCCTTGGAGGAATTTAGGGACCACGGAAATCCTCTCAACAATAGCCTTGTTTGTTTTGTGACTCAATTTTTACTACAAAGAGAGTCATTTGAACACTTCCTCTCATTAACAGTTTCACATGATCATCTTTATGGAGCTACATTAATGAACGGTAAAATTCAATCATTTTCAGCCTAAAGTTTGGTGAGTTTTTAAGTATGCAGTTACGTAACCAATCAAAATCATGAAAAAATATTTTTATAAATTTCCTCTTGCCCTCTTTCAATCAATATCTTTTCCCCTAGTCATCACTGATCTGCTTAATGTCACATTAGTTCTGCTTTTTCTTGAATCTCAAGAAAAAGGATATAAATATAAATGAGATTGTATAGTATTATGCCTGGCTTCTTTACTTAGAAGAACACTTTAGAAATTCATCTGTGTTGTTGCATATTACCAGGAGCCCATTCTTTCTATAGCTTAAAATTTTTTCATTGCATGAATATGTTCATTTGTTAAATGATGGACTATCTCCTATTAATCAGTAGTAATATATAATTATATATTCTAGATATACATTCTTTATCAGATATGTATTTTGCAAATATTTATGTTTCCTCCCTGCCTGTGCTTGACTTTCTGATTTCTTTTTTAAAAATATTGGGTATTTCTTTTCTTTTTTTTAACTTTTGTTTTATTTATTTATTTTTATGTGGTGCTGAGAATTGAACCCAGTACCTCGCATGTGTTAGGTGAGTGCTCTACCGCTGAGCCACAATCCCAGCCCCTTCACTTTCTGATTTCTTAACAYATGTGGGCTGGGGTTGTAGCTCAGTGGTAGAGCACTCACCTAGTATGTACAAGCACTGGGTTCAATCCTCAACACAACAAAGAATGAATATATAAAATAAATATATTAAAAAAGTTGTATCTGTTAAAACAAAAAAGACCAAATGTTTTTAATTTTGATGAAGTCCAATTTATCAATTTTGTCTTTTTATGATATGATTTGTGTTTTCTGGGAACTATCTCAGAAGATTTGCCTAATCAAAGGCCACAAAGATTTTCTCCTATGTTTACTTTCAGAAGTTTTTTAATGTTAGCTCTCACATTTGCATTTATGATCTAAATCCAGTCATTTTTTTTTTTGGTATGTTCACATTTCCCCATGTGGCTCTCTAATTCTCCCAATACCATCACTTCATGGGGTTACCTTGGCACCTGTATCAAATTGGTTAACCATGTGAATTTATTTTTTTACTCTGTTTTGTTCCATTGATTGATGTGTCTAGTTTTAAACAATATTACATTGTCTCAATTAATATAACTCAACAGTAGATCTTAAAATTAGGTGACATAAGTCTTTCATCTTTGTTCTTATTTTTTAGAATTCTTTTGGCCATGTAGCTTCTTTTCATTTCCATATACCTTAGAACCAGCTTTTTGATTTCTACTAAAAATTCTTTTGGGATTTTGATTGAAATTGCTTTGAATCCATTAATCAATTTGGGGACACTTGATACCTTAACAATATTTTGTCTGCTGATCCATAAATGTGGCTTCTATCTTCATTTATTTAGGTTGGCTTTCATTTTCACCAATAATACTGCTTTGTGGCTTTCAGTATACAGGTCTTATACTTGTTTCATTAAATTTATTTGTTTCAGCATATGGATTTTGTGTTTTCTTTGTTAAATTTATTCCCAAACTTTAATATTATCTGGTGCTACTGTAAATTATATTTAAACATTATTTCAGAGTTTGATTGTTCACTGTTACTATACAGAAATACAATAGATCTTGATTTTGTATCTTGACCTTTATCCTGTGACTTTGCTACACTCACTTATTAGCTCTAATAGCTTTTAAATAGATTATAGGTGCTGGGTGAGGTGGTGCATGCCTGTAATCCTAGCGGCTCGGGAGGCTGAGGCAGAAGAATCTCAAGTTCAAAGCGAGGCGCTAAGCAACTCCGTGAGACCCTGTGTCTAAATAAAATACAAAATAGGGCTGGGGATGTGGCTTAGTGGTCGAGTGCCCCTGAATTTAATCCATGGTATATTCCTCCCAGATATAGATCATAGGTGTTTTTACAAACACAGTCATGTTATCTGCCAAAAAAAAAAAAAAAGACAATTTTTCTTCTTCCTTTCCAATCTGTGTGCCTTTCATTGTTTGTTGTTTTAATCTTGGTGTGCTGGCCAGTTCCTCCAGTGAACAAAGGCAGTCCTTGTCTTAGTCCCAATCTCAGGGGAAAAGCAATCAGGCTTTACCAGAAAATATGATGGTAAGAGAAAAATTTTGGTAGATGTCCTTGGTCAAGTTGAAGGATTCCCCTTGAATTCCTACTTTTATGAGAGTTTTTCTTCCTGTCTAAAAATTATGAATGGGTATTAATTTTGTCAAAAGCTTTGTTCTGTGTTCCTTGACGTGATCACATGGTTTTTCTTTTAGTCTGCTAATGTGGTGAATTTTATTCATTGGTTTTGAATATTCAGCTTTTCTGTGTCCCTAGAATAAGCCCTTCTTGGTTCTGGTGTAGTGTGTTTTTAATATATTGCTAGATTTGGGGTTATAATTTTGTTAAGAATTTTGACCTCTGTACTCACAGGGTTGTTTGAGTCCTCTTTTCTTGCAATGTCCTTTTCTAGTTTTGGTACCAGGACTCCCCCTACTTAAGAGCATCCTGCAGAGTAGGCAGGAAGTTGGGGGCAATCAGAGGGCTCTTCTCACCTTTTCCTTCTCTTGGGGCTACATTTTTTTTTCTGCTGCCTGTTGTCTAAGGTCTGAAAACAGCTGTTACTTTTTTTTTTWWTTTTTTTTTTTACTGATTTCTATTTTTTCATGGCAGAAGGACAGTTCTTATAGTAGTGAATCTTTGTGGAATAATGCAGAAGTCCATTTCTTCCACACAATTTTAAGACTTTTAATTGTTAGAAAAGTGTCTCTTGTTTCCTTGGACTTTCTTATAACCTTCATTCACTGAGATGTCCTTTGGGGCCACCCATGTAAGTGTAATCTTTGTACCCTGTGTCAGCTCTTCAGATATTTGAATCAGCACGTCTTTCTTCTTGGGTTTTTTCTCAGCTCAACATTTTCAGTTGCTTGATGCTGTGGTTTGGATGGGGTCTGTCCTCTAAAGATCCATGGGCTGGAATCCCAGTGTCCAGGGTGCGGGTCATGAGAGGTGGAGTAACGTTCAGATGTGAGGCCTCCTGGGAGGTAGTTATGCACTATCCTTGGAAGAGATTAATGCCCATCTCATGGGAGTGGATTAGGTCTCACAGAACTGGGTTGGTTGCTGCAAGAGCAGGTTGCTACAAAGCCTGCCACCTTCCCTTGGTCTCCTTTTATGCATGTGCTCTTCCATATGCACTACCTGCCTTATGTGATGCTATCTGCTTCACCAGATGTGGCTGCCAAAGCTTGAACTTTTCAGCCTCCAAAACCATGAGCCAAAATAAACTTCTTATAAAGCATCTGGTCTTGGGTATTTTGTTATAGCAACACAGAAGGAGCTAAGACATGTGAGCTCTGTCTTGTTTTACCGAACTCCCAGACACTTTATAGATCTGGGTTAGGTTCTATTATTTTCAAAGTTCCTCTTGAAAACATTGACACTTCTAAGAAAAAATAAGAGTGGTGCTTAGAGCTGAATATAATGTTTCAGATGTCTGTAGACTAACACAGAATTATTAAACTATTCTTTCATCCTATTACAAAATCATTTTTTTAAAAAGCCCCTATTTAAAAATGAAAGCAGACAATAAAAAAAATCTGTTTCTATACTTTTGGATTTGATTATCAATTTAGCATCTTGAAGGGCAAATGAGATGATATCATCAACTTTCAGTTTTTAAACTCTGTGAAGGTTTCTGTTTAAATGTTGACTAAAGGTGATGTATTTTGTAAAAGACACTTGGCCTTTAAGAAATCATTGCTAAGAGAGATGAGACTCTTCTGTTTGTTCGAGGGAGCTGGTTGTAACCCCTGCTAGTTTTGCTTAGTCCTATTATACACAGGCTTCAGCCACACAAGTCCCAAGTGGGTAAATCAATGGGGGCAACTCTGATGGACAAAGACAGTAACTCATAGTTACAGTTTCTTGTACCGTATGTGCCCTATATGACAGAGAGAGAGAGAGAGAGAGAGAGAGAAAGGAGAAGGAGGGGGGAGGGGGAAGGACGGGGAGGGGAGGGGGAGGGAAAAGGAGGGATTAGAAACCAGCTAGGGTAACCTTGGCATTTCTTTTTTATTTATTGACATGGCCTAATAAGGTAAATATGTATAGTTGAGACATAGAAAACTAACAAACAAAATCTGGATGTGACCATTTTTTTAAAAAAAATATTTTTAGTTGTCAATGAACTCAATACCTTTATTTCGTTTATTTAATTTTATGTGGTACTGGGGATTAAACTCCAGTGCCTCACGCTAGGCAAGTGCTCTACCACTGAGCCACAACCCCAGCCCTGGATGTGACTTTTAATGCTTAGTTTGAGGACTATGTCCTCTGAGAAAAGGGTTAATGTTAGATTAGTGGGAAGTTCCATTTTTGAAGAAATTCCTACTAGTTATCAATAGGCTTTCATCTCTATGATTGGATTATGACTGCTTCCATGTCTGTTGGCAGAATTCAAATCCCTGTGACTGTATAGTTAATATCCCCATTTCCTTATTGGCTGACTGACCACTGAAGGCCATTTTCAGCCTTTACAGGTGGTCCACCCTCCTTGGCTTATGGGTTTATTTCTCCAGGTTCAAAACCTGGGGTCTCTGACTCATGTGATTAGATTGGACTTGCCTGGATAATTCAAGCTAATCTCCTCGTCTCAGGCTCAGTACCTTAATTATCAATGCACAATCCCTTTTGTCATGTAAGATAACATATTATAGGTTCAAAGGTTTAGGAGGTGGAGGTGGAAATTTATGTTAGGGTCAATATTCTACTTATCACAAAGCCAATGCCAGAAGTAGCTACCTTTGTAGATATTGCCAAGGCTACAGAACTCAAATTTACAAACATCTTGTACTTACATGATGTTTGTATGTGGCATGCCTCCCTCCACGGATATCAAGAATTCTTTTTTTTTTTTTTTTTGGCCAAACTTGCTGGCACAGGTAATTGACAGTACAACTTTTTCCTACCAATATCTTTATCACTTTCTTGAGGGTAACATATGCATAATCGCCTCTTGTTTTCTGCCTCTGTGTGTGTGTGTGTGTGTGTGTGTGTGTGTGAGTGTGTGTCACTAGGGAATGAACCCAAAACGCTCTACCAACTGAACCATATCCCCAATCATCTTTATTTTGAGATTTTTGAGTCAGGGTCTCACTAAGTTGCCAAGGCTGGCCTTGAACTTGGAATCCTCCTGCCTCAGCTTCCCAAGTTGCTGGGATTACAGGCCTAGGCCATTACAAGCATGCCCAGTTATGTCTTCTGCCTTTTACAAAGTGACCATTTTATGTGCACACACATAGCTTCTTTAACCCTCCTTCAATTTCTATCTTGCATACACATGCATCCTCTTTTAACTCACTTATCTAGTGTTCTAAAATTTTCTATGTATCTCACAGGGAAATATTCTTAGTCTCTTTTTCTCAATCCTTTCTTTTTTGTTTCAACTGATCATTTCAACGTGAAAGCAAATTTAGGAAATAGCTTACTCCCAAGATGAAGATTGCTTCTGCATATTTGGGTCATTCTGGAATGAAATTGAAAGAGATTGAAAGAAAGAGAAGCTCAAAACTCTCATCTTGAAAAGTCAAAACCTGGAGATGCATGAAATGTCTGTGTTCTGAATATTATACTTTCACATATTTTTTTTCATAGAAATGGCTCAGTTCACTCCATACTTTGATAGTTTGAGTGACTCTGCTATAAAGCTTTGTAGTAGTTTATTGATATTTGAAAATTATTCCTCAGTTTCCCCCTTCTTTTTAAAATTTTGTTTTTTTATGAAAGCAACTCTGTACCTGATCTTAGCCAAAAACCCCAAAGCTCTCATTATTAAGGTGTCTTCTTATTTCTTTTTTTGTTTTTAAATTAGTGCATCTCAATTATATAGAATAGGGAGTTTCATTGTGTCACATTTTTACATACATAAAAATACAATTTGATCAATTTCACTCCCCAACACCTTTTCCCCTGCCCCATGCACTCTCCCCTCCTCTCTCTCTCTCTCTCTCTCTCTCTGGTTCCCTCCCTCTTCTTTAATGGTCACCCTTCTACTTCAAGGCATGCCTTTCTCCCCTAATTTCCCCCTTTCAAAATACAGTAGAATGAGATGAATTACTGCCATCCATCTATTTCCGAAATGTCATCCATCTATTTTCCAAATAGATCTTAAAATATGTACACTGAAATCTCAAATACAATGCTGGCCAAAAGCATTACTCCTCTTGTGCTTTCTATCACAAATTACGTTACCTTCATTATCAACACCAACCAAACTACTACTGAGGCAATTACGGATATAAAGTTCAATCTTATCTCACTCAGACCAGCCCAAACCACAAATAGGCATGGAATTATTATAGAGTCAGGGACCATTTTGCCCTCATTAGACATGACAACAGAAGTCAGTGAGGAGGCTATTCCACGCTATGCGTTTTGTAGTAGCAAAGCTATTAGAAGAACCCAAGCATCCAACAAATGGGGTTGGTCAGTAAATAAATTAGGGTATAGCTACATAATGGAATATCTTGCTACTCTTTAAAATGATGCTGTAGAATGATATTTATGACATTGAAAATTGTCTTATTAYATTTGGCATAACAAAGTTAGAAAACAGGTCAGATGGTATTATATTACATGTGAAAATCATCCTTATTATTATATTATCCCAATTATGAATAATAACATAGATTTATAAATAGGAAAATCTAGAAAATGCCTAAAATGGTGTCTGCATAACCATGTTTTTCTCAGGAGTGGAATTGAGGTGGTTTTTGTTTGGGGTAGACTTGATAATAGATATGTAGCACTTTGTATTCAGTAAAAAATTAATATATTGTTTGCAAGTGAATGGTGAACAACGCATCTAACTTATTTCATAGGAAGCCTAGACCTTTAGAGATGAGAAAACAAAGTCTTGTCATCTAGCAAACACTCTTGCTGGAACATGACCAAGTCCATAACCTCCACTGTTTACAATTGTTTTCATCATTTCACTTTATCAAAATTATTGTCACAATAAGGTGAGTGGTAGTGAGGGAGGTAAAGCAAGTAATAGTCAGATTTGGCTAGAAACCCAAAGTGCATGTTTAGACTTCAGTTCAAAATGCTGCCTTCTCTAAAAGTTCAGGGCAACATCATCAGCCTGCAGAGTCCTATGGATCCTCCACACCCCAAGGGAAAACCTTTTCCTCCAACAATTCACTGACTTTTTGGCCAGTCTGGGCTCAGCCAATGAGCTCCAGAGGCAGCTGATGGGGAAGCAGCTGCAAGGTGGCATCTGCAGAGATGACAAATACTCACTAATCACCTTCAGAAGAGCCGGCAGTCTGCTGGTGCTGCTGCCTCCGCCGCCGCTTCTGCTTTTTTAGACACAACACCACCACAAATATGATGCTCGAGATGATCAAGAGTCCAAAGGCAGCCAAGTATGTTTGGTCTTTAGGAGCCAAGGAGTCCGTCGGAAGAACTAGAAATGACCACACATTGCAATCAGCCAGCAACTCTTTTATAAAAGGATTATATTCGCTGCTGTTTTCTTTATGTGCTTGCCAGCATTTCCCCAGGACTCGAGTGCCCAGGGAGCCAGAGGAGCCAGGAATCTACAATATGAGGCCATAGGAAGCATCAGGCTCAGGGCCTTGGTAGCTACCTAAGAATCGGGCCAGCATCTCTGAGCTTGGTCTGAGCAGCCTTCCCCTCCCCAAGGTGGGGATGACACCCGGGGCATGATACAGGGATCTGGGTAAAATATTTGTGCTGAGGCCCTGATTGCATTCATTCAGACAGTGCCCTGCTCCCCCAGTCCCTTGTCATGATCCCCCTGTCCACTGGCATCTCTACATCAGGTTCTAGACTCCTCTCACCTGGAAAAAACGGAACATTCCTCACAGGCCCCCCCAACCTCCAGTTTACATTTGTGTGGTCATTTTTCCCATTGAGGTCACAGCAGGCTTCCTCAACATGAATTTTATGTACAAGAAAACCGCTGATATATTTTTCATGCCTGAGAAGTCAGGGTCAAAATCAGTTCCCTGGAGGTCAGGACTTAACTTCCTTGCACAGGAACTCCTACATTTCTGGGAAGTTGAAAAATAGATTTTGTGCTAGAAAATTGAGTGGCTCACTTTTTAGGCATATTGGGGGAACAGTTCTTGTAGTTAATCCCAAATTGCAAGAAAAAAAAAATAGAACCAGCTGGTCTCCCATTAGCTTAATACAATTTTTGGCACTTGCCCTGTGCCTGGTACAGTAAGGAGAGAAGTTGTCAGCATTGAGGGCCGCATTTAATATCTGTTGAGTATGTCCCAGTTTATTATACTTGAACCTGGTTGGCATCCCAGTAGAGGGGGTTCTACTATCAATATGGATACTGCTACCTGTTGGCATTGAAAAAGTTCCTTGGCTCAAGGTCTAACCTATCTCTGATCAACCCATAGAACAGGGACCCAGAGAGACAAACCCTATGTTTCCAAGGCAGTTAGAGCTGGACTAAAACATTTCTGAAGATGGCAGTACCTGGAAAAGTTTGGGCAGCTGTTGAGAAGCTGCAGAATTTTAAGCCACAATAAGGCCATCGTGGCAAGACCCTGCTCTTTGTAAACTGGAGCCACATGGAGGGTCCAAGGTAAGTTTTGAATGGAGAAGCTGGTAGCTATAGGAAGGTATTGAACTTCACCCAGAACTTTGAGAGGCTTCTATCAGGCTAAGAGAGGCTGCAGTTAAAGCCACCAGGATGGGCTGGGTGACCCACCTTTTACTGGACTCTCAGAAGCTGAACTCTCTGAGTGGAAGAAATTAGTACCAGGAGAGGGACCGACACTGTTGTAAAAGTGGCTTGTGGGGACTAGCTCTAAGGGATGTTCCTGAGAGTAAGTCTGGAGGCCAATTATGTTTGAATGAGATACTAGGAGCAAGGAGGCAGCAAATCCAGGGATTGGAACAAAGGGTCAGATGGGTGTCATCAGAGGAGCCAAAGCAAAGGGCCAGAGCCAGAGAAAGGGCCAAGGCAAACAGAAGGCAGATGGATGGGAGGAGAGGTCAGGCTAAGATCAAACAGTGATGGGAACAGTGTGGGTGCAGATTGCCTTTATTCTGGGAGGGAAGTTTGCAGTTACTGTTCCTCAAAATGGGGTCTCAAATATAGATGTGTACCCTCCGAGGCAAAGCTGGGACTTTGAGACATCAGGCTCCCATTAGGGGGCACTGCTTAGTTCAAGCCCTTCCTCCGGCTGGATCAGTTCCTATAGTACATCATGAACATGCCACAAGCATTTCTGTCTTTCTTTGGTGTATCTCTTGCCCTTATGTCAGATCAGCTAATTCTTGTGGTCCTCGCACCTGCTCAGCCTAGGAACTATCTCCAAATTTTTCTAAGCAAGAAGTCACAACTAATTTGAGAGTCTGTCATCTGGAATTCCCTCCCTTCTCCTCACCACACTTATTAAGCCCACTGATCTTTTGTGGTATTATAAGGTCTCACCTCTTTGGGAAGGCTTCCCTAACCCCCAAATATCTTGCCTGTCTGTGAGTGCCCTTGAAACTGATTATTGGTTGTTTTAAATTTAGTCATATATTTCCATGTAATATAATTTAGATTCTGATTCAATCTTTTTAGAATTCTGTTTTCCATAGGTACCCACTATGGAGTTCAGGTTCTATTGGAAGATCCTCAAGAACAGGGAGGACATCTCATGCCTTTTAGTTTCTATCCCATAATAAACAATATCTAGAAGAGTTCTATATTCCTAATGAGTACTATATGTGTGTACATTCTGTGTGTGTGTGTGTGTGTGTGTGTGTGTGTTTTAATCAAAAGAAGAATTCTAAGGTTAGAATTAGAGAAATTTCTGCATTTCCTGCCCAAACCTTCAAAATCCTCCATTCAAGGATAGCCCAAAAGATGGTCAGTTTCAGGGCTAAGCACCTGTTCCTTCAAGTGCACCACAGGTTCACGGGCTCCTGGACTCTGCATCACTCAGCTGCATCAGGAGCCCTCCACTTTGATCTTCCCTAGTACTATCATAAAATGGCCTGGTAGGAGGTTTCCTAGCAAGCTGGGAACATTGGCTGATTTGCCTCAAGCATTTGTGTATAATACCTGGTGAAAGAAATAGCCTAGGAAAGCAGCTTTACCTGTATTGAAAGGTGGAGACTTAAGCGTCCCTGAGGCTGTGCATACGAAACAGGTGATAGTGACATTGCTCGTGTCATCGGGGAACGGAACGGACAAACTGGCAGAAACATTGTATAGTTCTGTTTCATTATCCTGAGATATCACCATGACACCATCATGCTCAACAGTTGAGTTTTGGGTTTCTAGAACAAAATATATCCTTAAAGGTGGTGGATGACCTTGACTAGATGAGCAGGTCAAATTTATGCCAGAATCTTCTGTTATATTGGAAAGTGGCCTTATTTCAGGTTCACTGAAGTTAGCTGGAAGCAGAATAGAGATACGAAAAAATAGTCTAAATTTAGATACATAAATAAGAAAACAATCAATAATTAAGTGCCTGATCTGGGAGCTCATTAAGGCATACCTGGAAACCCCAAAGTATCTAAAATATAGGTCTTAGCCCTTGGGGAGGACCATATAATAACCATTTATTATGGAAGAATGCTTACTTCCTGCATATCCAAATCAAAGGCATGCTCTCTGAGAGATGGGACTGACATGAACTCACCAAAGGTTTAAAATTAAGCTATTACTCCAGGGAGTAGAGTCTTTGTCAGGACACCTGGTCTGCTTGTACGACCCAAGTTTCCCAAGGGGTACATTCTAGATCACCAGAATAGGAGAGCAGAAAAGGACTGAGCTAAAGTCCCACCAGAAACGAACTGACTTCATGGTGTAGACATGCTCTGGGTCTCATTTAGAAACCCTAGTAGTACAGTGGTGAGTGGGTGGGGGCTTTGGATTTAGAAATTCAGAATACTGATTTTTTGGCTCAACTGTCCAATGTCTTCATTATATACTATAGGATGAAGGCCAACTCCATCCACTTATAGGGAAAACACATGATCTAAATACAGGGTTTCTCTTGCCTTTGATTGCCATTCTTGTTCTTATGGCTGGTGAGGACCAAAGGCACGTGGTCCCCAGACCTGACACATAGGCCTCTGCCTGCCAAATCTCTTGCTCTTCTTCTATAGTTCCTAACTAGTTTTCAAGTTCTACATACTAATTTATAATTTATTGTATTTTTCTAAAATAGCAGTCATTTACATGTCATTTTTCCAGTTTTTGCTATATCAACATACTACTTGAGTATTCTGCTTGTAGTTTACGTGGTCTGTAGAGATGAATTGCCAGACCTTATTTAGTCTAAATAGCAAATGAAATCATAGGTTAAATAAGTGATAGTTCTTCTAATACATGTTGAAATAAAAAACAAAACTGTTTTACAAGTTTTACAACTGAGTCACACCTAAATCACATGCTTCTCCAGTGGTACCTGGTAACACTCTAAAGACTGATTTAGAACTTATTTAAATGTCCTGAGATCCCTGATGCCTAGTTTGAATCACACAGGGTTGCATGGTCAATTTTTGCCTCTATTTTTATTCTGTGGTTTCAAAATAGGTGCTGATCTTCCTTTACCTGTTTCATCAAGAATTAATCTGGATTCAGTATCTACATTAGAGAAATGCGAACTTATGTTCACACAAAAACCCATAAATGCATGTTTATAACAACTCTATTCATGACAGCCCCAAACTGGAAACAACCCAATGTCTTTCAATAGGTTGAATGGATGAACAATAGAATGGGACTCAGCAGTAAAAAGGAATAAATTTTTGATACCTGCAACAACTTGGATAAAACTCAAAGGTATTATGCTCAACAAGAGAAGCCAGTCTTAAAAGGTTATGTAATGTATGGCTTCATTTATGTGACACTTTCAAAATGATGAAACTACTGGATGTAAAACTAGATTTATGTACAAAGGAATGTCATAAGGGAAATTGTTTAGGGTGATGGAAATGTTCTGTACCCTGTATATAGTGGTGATTGCAAATCTATACAGAATCTATAAATTAATAGAAGTACAGTAATGTAACAGAAAGTAATGGAACAGAAACCATTAATTTTATTGTATGACAATTTGTTAAAAATCTGTAGTGACATTTAGGTTTTTCAAGGTCTTGTGAAAGCAGCAGGTTTGTCTCTTTGTGTGTTATGCTTAATTGAGTTATTTCCCTTCCGTCTACTGGGCTTATGGTTGGTGCAGCAGATCATCCATAGCAACCTATAAAAGGTTGAGGCGAAAACCCAAATCAGTCAGCTGTTACTAGAAGTTATAGGCCAAGATTTATTGAATAGGAAAACCTGGATCAAAGGAGCAAATGAATGTAATGATTCCAGGCTGCTCTGGCTAGACACAATGACCCATGATTTTCATTTGGCCACATGACTTTTGTTCAGCAGGCTTTATTTTGTCCCCAAAGAATATTTCTTCTGATCCTTCTTCTGAAGCAAACTATAAAAGTACGTAGGGACTTTCAGTTCCCTACTCCTAGAACCTGTGCTCCCTTTAAATGGACTTCCCAGAAGTGACTGTTTTCTGCCTTCTCTCCATGATATCCCTTCCTGGGGCCGAAGGAGCTCCCAACTCCAATGTTTCTCTCCTCATCTGCAATCTTATCTGACAAGGATGAGGATCTGAACACCCATGGTCTACATACCAAACACTGACAGCTCAGAAGTCATCTGGTATAGGTGAACAATTCCTTGGGGTCCTTTGTGATGGACAATACATTGATAGGAGCCCTTGTCCTTGATCTGAACATTGTGAAGTTGCATGGTCCAACTGTCCTGGTCAAAGCTTGTGCGGCCCAGATACTTGGCAGCCACATTGTCAGGTTTTTCGTTGCCTAAATATAGCTCATACAAAACCAACATTTGCTGGTCCTGCCAAAATATTATAAGCTCCCCCAGACTTATATTTTGAGAGTTTATAAATTGGCAAGGCAAGTAGGCAGTCTCGTTGAAAGAAGCCTGACTCTTGAGGGAGGCAGCATCTGGAAAAGAAGAGGTGGAGATTAGGAAAGGAAGAAGCAAGAGGGAAGAACAACCAACTCCATTTCTTTTTAAAATTTTTTTTTAGTTGTAGATGGACACAATACCTTTATTTATTTATATTTATGTGGTGCTGAGGATCAAATCCAGGGCCTCACATGTGCCAGGCAATCACTCTACCACTGAGCCACAACCCCAGTCCTCCGTTTCTTTTTATATGATATCAGGTGCTATCTCATCAGCAATGATTGAAGAGCTCTTTATTAAGATCTGAAACTCTGCATCCATGCTGGACACCTGGCAATTAGGACTTCTGTTCTTACTTCACTGTTAACTGAATGCATGGCCTTGTGCAAACTGCAATCTTCATGAGTCTCAGTTTCCTCATCTCTTTAAAGAACTGGGGGTGGGGGGATTAAGTGTTAGAAGAGTCTAGTTGTATGGTTCTGTGAATGTGAATTTCTGAGAGTTAGACAGTTGGTTCAGTTACCTGTTAACTTCCCACAGCCTGAACATTGATTCTCATCACTATAGCTGGAATAGGCTCCATAACTGCTATATCACCCCCAAAGCCCTCCTTGCCCCACCCTATCTCCTTATTTCTTGGTCTACTATGGTGAAAGAATTGCTGATATTGCTAGTCAGCTTGCTATTTCTCCTTTTATTAACCTTTATTAGTTGGGGGTCACATTGAGTAATATCTTTGAAAATTCTAACAGTTCCCTTTATAGACCTCCCACCATGACCAGCTCTCCCCAGGACAGAAACAGTTTGACTCAAATAGTTAGCCAAGGTATCTATGCTCAGTAACCTCTCCAAGCTCTTTCAGGGACCAGAAAGAGAACTGGGCAAAATGGGGGTAGTTTGGGGGTTGTGATGGTCAGAGACCATTTAAGACACATGAGTAAAATGCTGGGAGTGAATGACAGGTGGGAAGGTGAGAATGTGTTTTAGGACTACTAGGGAAATCCCAGGTGACACAGACCTGTTGTTCCCAGGTTACACTTCTCCTAGAAACTCACAATCCACAGGGGATATGCTGAGAGAGCAGGGAAAGGCTTTGGTCCCCCCAGGACACAGACATATTGGTATATGGGGAGGGATTTGTATCACCCAACTCCTTAAATGTGATTGATGACAGGTTTTGTAGGGTCTTTCTGGGTCACAGAATTACTTGAGACTTGGCAAAGAAGTAGTGGGAGAAGGGAAGTGCAGGGCAGGAGACCTGCTTAGGTGATACCAGGTTAGGTGCTGCCTTGGGGAGGAAGTCAGATTGGATTCTGAATGAAGAGTCATCGTTCAGGATTTCAGCAAAGGGACGGTGACATTAAGGCAGAAATTTTGCATTATGGCCTATTACATTACTCTCACTAGAACTTTGTGAAGGAGGGGGATACCTACATGGGTACTCAGAACAGTGAAAACATGATCTAAGCAAGAGTGACTGTATTTGGTGATTACATGCAAAGCAAACCTGGATCTTGTGTGGCACCTTTGCTGAGCTCTTACTAATAATGCAACAGTGCCACCTACTGTAAAAGCTTCCAGCACTGTCTCTGGGGAATACATTCTGATTTTGGTATAATTTGCTATATGACAAAGGGCAGATGACCCAGTTGCAACTTTTAACATTGGTCAATTTTATGTTGTGCCTCAGCTATTGATTGTGCCTTCAGACTTGGGAAGGACCTCATCTATAGTTTCCTTTATCTTGATTTACAGAGTTTTCTCCAACAGATCCCCACACACAGTACTTTTTTCTCCTTCTCACTTACTCTGTCCACTCACAGACTAGTCCAACTTTTCTGCTGCAGTTCTTTCTCCAAAAGATTATACAGGGCTTTCTCTTATCCCCATCAAATTGCTCCCCTCTTCGCCTATCAACCGAAAGAATGATCTATGGACCAGGCCATTGGCATCGTGTTGGGCCTGGTCAGAAGTGCAGTACCTCTGTCCCCACCAGAGAGCTCTGGGTCAGAATCTGCATCATAACAAAAACTCCCATTTGAGAAGCTGCTGTAGATGTTCTCTGTTTCCATCTCCAGAGTGGATCAGAGAAGAAGACAGGGCAGATTTACTTCTATCTATTCCTCCTCAAATCCCCTCTCCACACCATGGGGGTGGAAATCACTCTAGTCCATTCTGAGTGGAGCTGAAAATATTTCATAGGTTCCATTCTGCAGCTCCTCACCCACCACTGGATTTCATTATATCACTCGGAGCTAGGCATAAGGCATCTTGCTAACCCCCTCCTGATCATATGGAGAAGATATGATGTCAAAGTCTGTTTTCCCTAATTAGCTTCAGGTGTCCACTATTAGGACCCCAGAGCATAGGTCCTCTAGCAGTTGGACCCATTGGGACTCCACTGGTGGAAAGCATTGAGAATCTCACCCTTCTTCAGCACTTGGGTGAGAGAGATGGTCTAGCCATAACTGATTGCTGTGAGGATGTCAGGAGCTAGGGGATCAGGAACTCAGCTGGACATCTCCCTGACCAGCAGTTTGTTCCCTAGGACACTTAAGGACCTTCTCAGCAATATACTGTTTGGATGACACACAAACCCCATAGTCTGCTAATGTCAGTTCCCCCATGGGGACTTCAGTCTTCCTGGCCATCAGACAAAACGTAGGTGACACATTCAAGGGTCCTCTCGATGTTTTTCTGTACTCATGAATTTCTCTTCATTTCCTAAACTTCTTCCAAAGCTTTATTAGGCCCTCTGGAAACTGCATACCATTGTAATATATTCTTCTATACCCTTAACTTCTTTAGTAAACATTTTCTCCTACGTTCTGTTATTGGGATCTGGTCCTACCCAACGGAAGCCATTTGTCTCCTAACCACAGCTTGTTTTTTTTCACTTCACAGGGACTTTGAGCAACAACCTCCCCATTTGGAGTTGTCCTTCTCTTATTATCGTTAGCCACTAATCATTCTCACTAGACCCTTGCTCAGTGAGGATTTGGGCATCACACACAAGGTCTTTCTCACCAATTCTTGCCATAAACTTGGTGCTTTCATCATGGATGTGTCCACCAACAAAGTTCTTTCACYTTGCCAACCCCATAGGTTTTCATCCACAGACTCTTTCAGCAGCCCCTACTCCCATGATATAACCCTGAACCTCATCATCTGCAGCAGCTCCACCCCTAGAGTCCTCCCCTTCATATACAGGAGAACAGGGAGGACCTGTCCACAACCTCCTCTTCCTCTGGGCATTACTATTGCTTTCTCCCTCTTCATCCAGACCTAAGTTTATCTAGTCTAGATCCGCTCCTGTAACACTTTCCAAAAGAACCTTCCAAGGTGATGGAAATGTTCTTTCCCTGGCTGAACAATGCCGTAACTACCAGCCACTGCAACTTTTAAGCACTTGCTATGTTGCTAATGTGACCGAGAAACTGGATTTATTTATTTATTTATTTTGCAGCACTGGAGAGAGAAACTGAATTTTTAACCTTACTTAATTTTAACTAATGGGCATTTAAATAAGCACGTATGGCTAGTGGCTATCATGTTGGACAGCACAACAATGTTTTTTCAATGGTTCCTTGCCAGCAATTAATAAATGTGTCCCTTTATTAAAATTCATACTGAGGATACTCTATTTTCAGTCTACCTATCTGTTCAAACAATCAAGCRGTTGAGCCCTCCTGAAGGAAATGATTTCATTGTACCGACTGCTGACATTGCAAATCTGTGGAGTCCAGACTCATTAAAATGACCCCCAGGCTCACCACCCTGCCCACTGGTCTGTTCCTTCTTACAGCAGTTACTTCGAACACTTCCTCTCTGCTCCTGTTTTTAGTTTCTTTTTGCCTTATAGTCAAACTCCGTGAAAAAGTGAACAGAAATATTTGCCTTTACTCCCCACATCTCTACTGAAACTTTCCCAACAAAGGTGCCAGTGACTTCCCATCAGTGCCAAGCCCAGTACTCTTTTCTGACCTCAGTCCATTTGATGACACTGCTGAATGTTTAACACTGTTGGGGGCATTTCTCCTTGAAACTCTCTCTTCTTCCCCAATCTCCAACTTCCTGGTTCAAATGCCTGTTGGATTTCTCACTTTTTCTCCTCTCTTCCCATGGATTCAAGTGCCAAGCGTAAGTTAATAATTCATAGATGTTTATCTCCAGCCCATGACTGTTGCTAGAGTTCCAGTTGCCTATCTCTAGCTGCCTGTTGGATACCTTCTTTTAGATTACAACAGATATTCTTCCTCCCTTCAATTCTTCCTCTCCTCCACCTCAATGCATGGTTTCCTCACCCACTGATGTCCATAATTATCTGAAGAATGTGTAGAAAATACCCAAGAGAAGGTCTGCACAGGTGTGGCTGAGAAGATCTAGAAGTACTACAGCCTGAGCTGAACTTTAATATGCTATGGGAAGGGTGGCGGCTCTGTATGAAGCAAATAGAAGGAACCATCAGAGGTACAGGATTATGTGTTCATCTGGGGACCTTGGGGACATTATCTTTTAAATGTCTCTCTAAGACATTCTCTGTTATAGACCAGGAATGGTTTTCCAGGCATTTTCATGACCCAGATAGTATTTCTGGTAAGAAGAGTCTTGCTTTGATTTCATGCTCACCAACATTCAATTACATAGACAAACACATTAAATGCATAATTATGTAGAGTTATATATCATCATATAGAATATTTATATTTATTTTACAAAATACATACATATGCCATGTTACATGAAATATTATTTACTAAGTATATGAAGTTCAATATAACATGTAAAACACATCACTGTATGATGAAAAACCCAGTTCCTTGGAAGCACATGCCATCAGACAGTACCACCCACTGTCTCTCATTTCTATTGTTACTCATCTTTCTTTCATGTGCCCCTTAATGGACCTGACTTGTTCTTGCCAATTGCTTCCTCACTGATCTCCCTGATTCCATTTTTGCCCTAAGTCTAGCTTCTCAAGCCAAGATAACCCTTTAAAAACTTATTTCTGGCTCGGTGTGGTGGCATATGCCTA